AACCATCTGTAACTCCAGTTCCAGGGGATCTGACACCCTCTTCTGTTCTCTGCAGGTTCTGCATGACACAAGTACACTTACATACATGCAGGCCATACATTCGTACACATGAAGTATAACAAATAATAAACAAAACAAGGGGAAAAGTAGGGCTCTTCAGCAAGGTGTGAGCATAAAGAGATTGCAGTCATTTTCCTTTAGCTTTAAAGGCGCTTGATTGTGTTGTGAGCTGGGAGTCAGAAAAGCTGACTTTGGTGTTAGCCCTGTCAGTTATCAGGTAGACACTTAGCTGAATATAGACTCTAGTTTCCTCCTCACCAAAATAAGATGTTAGCTATAGACTCCAGCTTTAAAACTGTATATGTATTACTTTGTATTGAGAGCACATGACTTGAGAAGCCTTAATATTTTTAGCCACATTATCTCTCCTCCCCATCCATTATTCTTCTTCATTCTATTCTCCTTCTATAATTAGGCTTCGAGAATAACCAGCAGGAACAATAAACCCTAAAAAATAGTCTTACAAATATACTTGAAGGATCATTTTGTAAACATTCTTCTGTCTTCCCAATTAGGTTGAAAGCTTCTTGAGGTCATATAGTCTGTTATGTGTGACCATAACTGTAATAAATGCACAATAATCGCATGATAAACTGATTGCCTCAACTTTGACTTTCCTTTCCTCAGGCTACCTGTTTCCTTATGACTATATTGAGCTCTTTAGACCCCCAAACTAATAGAGCCTAGTGTTGTGCTTACTCCCATCAATTACTCAGTTTTTTCAAACCTTTAAAAAAGTTTTCAGGTTTTTTTTCTTTTTTTGGTTATATCTCATCAGGCAGAGTATAGGTTCACAATGTAAATACTAAGAACAAATGAGCCCTAGTCAAAACCCTTTATCAAACCTTCTTAGTCCTTTCAAATATTTCCACACTAAAAATAGATGTACTTTCAGCAATGGGGTAGCTTGGAAGTCCTTAGCACCCTCTTATGACCAAGAACACCTTCCAAAACACACATGCATTCTAAGTAAAAGAAAAATAAGTATATTTGCTGTTTAAATATAGCTTAACAAAAATGTTGCCTAACCCCTTATTTGATAGGATTGTTTCTCCTAAACGCTTCTTAAATAGAAATTCCGAAATTGCCACCAGTTATCAGAGGATCAGAAAAGTGCAGCCAGGTGACTTAAAAGGAAGAAAGCTGCCGTCCACTCCTCTTACAGTGATAGAAGAATCATATCAAGACAGTAAGGCAGGCTGGTACCTGGGGCATTTTCTCCAGCCATCTTAATTCTTCATCTCAGATCAGGAATCTTCAACGTCTAGATCACGGCTAAGAGTTAACCAGTGTATATATGCTGGCCAGCCCTTCACCTCCTGTACAGCTCAGAATCCCTGTGAAATTAAGGTTCACAACCAAACACCCTTTAAGGTAAGTAGCCATTACCTTAAAATCATAAATGAGGGGCTGGAGAGATAGATCAGCAGTTAAGAGCACTGACTGTTCTTGCAGAGGACCTGGGTTGGAATTCCATGACCCATATGGTAGTTAACCATAGGTAACTCCAGTTCCAGGTGATACGACACTTTCTTCTGACCTCTGAGGGCATTGTATGACACTGGTGCACTTACATACACGCAGGCAATATACTCATAAAAAATAAAAAATAAATTTAAAAAAAAAAAATCATGAATGAAGCTCAGATCTCTGTTCATCAGAGAATAACTTAGTGGAATTGGTTCTCTCCTTCCACCATATGGCAGGAATTGCCTTTACCTATTGAGCCATCTCATCTGCCCTGAATATCATATGTTAATGAAAAGTAGCCATGTATGGTGGCTCATGCCTGTAATCCCAGCACTTGGGAAACTGAAGTAGGTGGCTTACTGGAAGTTTCAGGCCAGCCTAAGCCTCGTCTCAAAAACCAAAACTAAAACCAAACCAAAAAGTAACCATTGTCAAAACTTCAAAATGTAGAAAAGTGTTATTTTCTATCTTGGAAAAATCTTAATGTCTTGCTTAAGTAGAAGACTTCTGGCTTCTCATATCTGCTCTGCATTTACTGTATTACAAATCACAGCATGTATCCCCTGGAAAACTCTACGTTCATGAAATAATACAGTAAAACTGTCTTAGTCTAACTCTGAAAGAGTTCTGGCCATGTAGAGCCCCTGAAAAGAGTCTAAGGCTGCTTCTTGAGCTGGAAGGAGGCGTTTGCTATGTGCCCTGACTCAGGACACAGTGTCATAGCTTCATTGAGTGGGGAAGAAAGTGATTTGCCAGACATTAGAAAATTAGCATTGTGGTACCAGCTTTACTCTTAACAGCTGCCCCCTTTGTGGACTGTACTGCCTGTACTGGTTATGTGTGATGATAGAGACTTACCCAAGTCTTCAGTGCAGCTCACTGCCCACTCTTTACTGTTGTTTGCCATGCCAGTACTTCAAATGCAAGATTTGAAGCTGAGTTTGTCACATCCTTCCAGCGTCAAGCCTTGCCGTCTCCTTTTCACCCATAGCTTTACTTTAAGGCAAGAAACTCGCAATCTCCTTCACAAAATTTGTAACTGTTGATACGATATTCTGACCGAATCCTAGGGTTGTTACTAAATGGTATAACAGAAGGAAGTGCTGATCATCACTTTAAACACAACATCAGCATGTACTCATTGTAATCAGGAAGTGCCTAGGTTATCTGTACTGGAATCAAGGTAGATGATACAGATCTTATTTCGGTGAAACCTTTGACAGAGTTGTCAGTAGAGTTTTATAAATCTGAAGGAGATTTTAACTGATATCAGCACAGCAGAAAACATGGGACATTAAGCCACAAGTGCTGAATAACAAACAGATCAATGCTGTGACAGAGGAGAGTCTCTAAAGGTATATTGCTTCGCACCCTGCTAGATGCAAGGTATGTTGCATGCTCTGCCCCTATGCAACATCACACAACAGCTTGAATGAAGACCTAGGTGACATGCATATTTAATCACAGAATAACATGAATTTAGAAGGAACAGCTAACATGTTTGATAGAAGAATTATATCAAAACTCAAAAGCCACTGGGTGTGGTGACACATCTATAATGCCAGCACTCTAGGGGGCTAAGCTAGAAGGATCAAGAGTTCAAGGCTAGCCTG